AAAAAGGGGGCAAAATTTGGTATATTCATGATGATGTTGGATATTGGGGCTTTACATAAAAAAAAATGTACCTAGTTTGAGATTACAATTTTGGCCATTATACGAAAGTGTACCTATACAGAAAAAGCTAGCTTTACTGGCAGCCAAATTCTGATGTCTGGACACGAGGTTATTTTTCAGAAATTGGCCATTTAACTGTTTACTGCTACCATAACCTAATCCAAATTGATGCCATTTGTGTTCATCATCATATAAATTAATCTTGACAGGGGAGATAAATCAGTGTCATGCATTGTGCACTTGAGACATTTCATATCTCTGCACATCGGCTTACACATACTGAAATATGTTAAAACTATACATGTCCATGAAGCCAAGATCCTGCAGATTTCTTCTGTGTTATTGTTATGCATAAATGTTGTGTATTAATCTAAATGCTGTGTTTACATACATTGTATTATATTGATTGTTTACATAAAAAAAACCCTGTTGATAATTATTTGTCACAAAATGTGTAGATAGTGCTAGGCAGATTTTGGGCAGGAACTTTAAAAAACATTTTGAGAACCTACTGTCTAGAAAATGAGAAAGATTGGGACAAGGGTCTGCACATGTTGTTATTTGCTGTTAGAGAATCTGTTCAAGAATCCCTTTGTTTTAGTCCCTTTGAACTTGTTTTTGGACAGTGTCCGTGGCCCTTTGAAGTTTTTTTAAAGACAGATTGTTGGATGACTATTCTGAGATTAGCCTATTGAATTATGTGTCCAAGTTTAAGCAAAGATTGACCAGGCTCGTGAACTTGCTAAGAAAATTTGGTCGGTTGTCAAGCCAAGATGAAAACTTGGTATGATAAAGATACTAGAGAAAGAAATTTTCAGTCTGGTGACAAAGTTTTGACATTGCTGCCTATACCTGGTCAACCTTTGCAAGCAAGATATTTTGGGCCATATGTTGTTGAGAAAAAGATTGATAATGTTAATTATGTTGTACAAACACCAAGGAGGCGCAAAAAAACTCAATTATGTCATGTAAATATGCTCAAAGAGTATTTTGATAGAAATGAGAGCAAAGACACTCAACCTGTTGCTACTTTGTACTCTGTAGCAGCACCTTGCGCAGGAAAAGATTTAGATATTGATGTAGGAATAGATGATGGTGTACAAGAGATAGGTGTTAAGATGTGTAATTCTGATGTGCTCTCCGACCTGGATGGAAAGCTACGACACTTATCTGACACTGAGAGGAATGAACTGAAAGAGTTGATTCAGGAGTATAGACATTTGTTTTCTGATGTACCGGGAAGGACTGATGATGTCTATCACGATGTCGATGTAGGAGACGCAAACCCCATAAAGCAGCATCCATATCGTGTGAATCCACTGAAAGCTGAACACATGAAGAAAGAACTGAAATGCATGTTAGAAAATGACATTATTGAACCAAGCAGCAGTGAGTGGAGTTCTCCGTACATTCTTGTAACGAAACCGGACAAGTCATTCAGATTTTGTACAGACTTCAGAAAAGTGAATTCCCTGACCAAAAGTGACTCTTACCCGATACCCAGAATCGATGATTGTATCGATAAAGTGGGCAAAGCAAAGTATGTTAGCAAATTGGACTTACTGAAAGTGTATTGGCAAGTTCCACTCACAGAGAGAGAGCTAAGCAACGTTTCAGCGACTTTTGAACAATGTCATCAGAGATCTGGATGGATGTGATGGGTACATCGATGATGTGATCATATACAGCGACACCTGGGATGAACATGTTCAACGCATTCGGGATTTCACGACAGACTCGCAACTATGAAACTGACTGTTAACTTGTTAAAGTGTGAATTTTGTCATGCAACTGATGACACACTGTAGGTCAGGGACAGGTAAGACCTGTAAAGGCCAAAGTAGCATCAATCTTAAATTTTCAGGAGAGAACTGATGAGATTTCTTGGTATGGCTATTACCGCAAATTTTGTCATTTTTTTTTCTGTTGTCACTGAACATTTAATTGGATTGTTGAAGAAAAGTTTATTTGGACTGATAAATGCTAGAAGGCATTTGAAAAAGTAAAAGCCATACTGTCAAACTCGCCAGTTCTTAGTGCACCCGATTTCAGAAAACAGTTCAAACTGTATGTAGATTCTAGTGATGTCGGGGTTGGTGCTGTACTCATGCAGGAAGATGATTCTCAAGTTGATCACCCTATATGTTTCTTTTCAAAGAAATTTGACAAACACCAAAAGAACTATTCTACTATTGAAAAAGAATGTTTGGCTTTGATCTTGGCTCTGAACCAGTTTGAAGTCTATTTGTCAACTGCTGCTTTTCCTGTGTTAGTATACACAGACCACAATCCATTGACATTCATCGGCAAAATGAATAACAAAAAACAGAGAATTCTTAGATGGAGTTTAACTCTCCAAGGGTACAACCTTGACATCCGGCATATCAAAGGTAAAGACAATGTTATCGCAGATGCTTTATCTAGAGTTTAGGAATTAAGTTTTCCTCACAAGAAAAACTTTCTTTTTCTTTAAGGAGGGGTGTGTTATGTATAAATGTTTTGTATTAATCTAAATTCAGATGTGCTGTGTTTACATACATTGTATCTTATTGATTGTTTACATAAAAAAAACATGTTGATAATTATTTGTCACAAAATGTGTAGATAGTGCTAGGCAGATTTTTCTAGAAAGCTCGGTTACTAGATCGACCTGTTTGTTTCCGGAAGTTTCTAAATCTAGAAAGTTCATTTATTAGAATTACCTGGGTGTTTCCGGAAGTTTCTAGAGACACATGTAAACAAGCTAGGTACCTGCTAGTCTAGAATCATCTAGAAAAGACTTACGGTGATTCAGTGATAGTGCCTTGTGTACTTGCACTTATACACCCAACGAGGAAACAATTCTTGGATTATTCTTCGGATACACTGTTTCCGGGACAATCTTTTGTGAATTCTGCTGGATTTGGAGGACTTTCATCGGAAAATAGGTTCTGACTTTTGATTAATTAGTGGCTAGCTCTGTACACCATCGCAATATTTGTAAATTTACTGTAGAATTTATTTGTTGTTATTAAATTGTTGAATTGTAAACCTAGCTGTTGGGTTTTCATTTGCTGTACTTTAATTCCGTAACGTAACAGTTATTAAGCGAATAATGCAGCACTATTCATGTGTTTTATACAATACAAAAATTCATCAATTGTATCGACTGATTTTGTTTAGATGCCATTATCTTTCTAACCATTAATACGTTCATTCTATTCCACTGAATACTTTGTAATCTTGGAGTCTACTTGGTCGAGCCTTTTATTCAGATATATTTCATGAAAGTCTCTGAATCCTTGCGTCTTCTTGTTTGCCGATGAAGGCGTTGCCATCCTTTGATTCTTGGCACAATTGCGATCTTCTGAAGAAGTTGTCTAAGCTGCACTTGAGATGAGTTGTTCGAAATATTCCACCTTTCATTTGCATTACCACAATTCACCTCTGAAAACCTGTTTGAACATTTCTTATTTCTAGCAAGTGATCCTGATGACAATTGAAATGCAATGTAATATACAAATATGATTTGCAATGCAATGTCCTTTGAAGTTAGAAAAATATATTTATGTTCACGTCGACATGTTGTTTGCGAGTGGTATAATTTGCTTCAGAATGCACAGTTTCTGCACTAATATCGTGATATTCGTAAAAGCTAGTCACGGACGCCACATGCAGTGGGCGAGGGTTAGCGCGAACGCAGACCGCCACACTTTAAAATAGCGTACCCGAGTATTCCGTATTTAGAAGTATTGCAGAATTCAGCCCATCTGGAGTGCAATGGAAGGGCCTCGACCTGGGGAAACCGCCTTGCTGATCACGGTATCCCCTGTACCAGGTAAGTATGATTTATTTCCGATACTGACAAACGCATAAATACTTTCGTGTGGCTTACGTCAACAATTTTGACGTCAGGATACATTTCGCAGCTCCAATATTGACAATAGATTGCCTTTTCCATGGCAAGGTAAAAAAAGACGGGAAATCCACGTTTACATATCCCATTGCTGTTTTTTGTACATAAAAACAATAAAAATGGGAGATGAATTTTGTGTATGTATCTTTCATATATAGATAATCACAATGCAGTGTTCATTTTCTTCGTTTAACGAAACATTTTCGCTTCCACTTCAGTTTGCTAAATATGCGGAAATATTATTAGTTAACAGACAAATTATGCTGCGAGGACCCTTTCTTTTATTCATCTCTAACGTTCCGAACCATCTTCAACGGCTAGCCTGACACGCTTTGACTGAGGGGTCCAGGCGATCCAAGAGATCCAAGATGGCGGCTCAGAATGAAAAAGTAAACGAATGTAGTTGGAACTTCGTAGAATTTGGCAACAATTCTACATTTTTGTATGCCAAAATATGTACAAAGAAAGTATAGAACACCTTTATAAACTTATTTCATACATGTATAGCGTTGATAGACTATTAATTAAAAAATAATTAAAACATTAATTGAACAGCATTTACTCCAAGTAGACACACTTACCATTGTTCTAATAAGATAGTTTTTGCTAATGAATTTGAATCTTTCATTTCTCATTGGTGATATTTTCTGTCATTCGCAGTTCAAACAAGATACTGCTGAAGTACTTTATCAATATAGTATAATGAAAGGAAAATGGTAAAAGAGGTTACTTAAATTGAATATGTAAAAATAGTGTTTCTGATATCAAGCTAATAGATATGGGAATTAAAGTAAGACCACATTTTATACAATAATCTTCATTGAAAATGCAGTTATAATTTTCTCGACACAGTTGCATTGATTGGTAGCACAATTTTTAATCACTTTTTCTGAGGAACTAAAAATTGTTTCGGATTAAGCAAAGCAAGCATTGTTATTTTTTATCAATATATATTATTATATGTAATTCCATACATTATGGAAGAAAGAAAAGAAAACAAAGATTCATAAGTTTTAATATCGAACTATATTAAATCAATTGCTAATCATAACATGAATACAACCACAGAAAAAACGAATGACTCCAAACAGTGCAAAATAGTCATTTTTCATTGCACATGGTTTGTTGATATTTTCGATAGATTGAATAAAATTATTAAAACAATTACAAAATGATTTATTGCCGTACTTGTTTTATGAAATTTCTTCACCATCTCTTGAGTTTACAGGAGATGTGTTTGATATCTTTATTATTTGTTTGAAATATGTTAAATCTTCGTCAGGTTAAGTGTACCTTTTATTGTTATTAGCAAAATGATGCTCTTATAAATTCATTATTATTGTTGATGTCCAAACACAATGTATTGGAAATTAGAAATCCTCCAACATACAAATGAAAATATTCAAAGTTAAGTGTCCGGGAAGGTGTGTCATTGGTCGACATATTAGAATGATAACGCAGTTCGAAACTGTTCTTTTATGTGGAACGAACCCGTGCCAACTGCGTGCCTTAACCAGCGGATAAACGAACGCACCCATGTCTTGATTATAAACACAAGCAGACCCAGCGCCTTATGGACTCTTGCACTTAAATAGAATTTATTAGTTAACATTTAAGCAAAGAGAATTAATGTTTGAAAATCAACACAAGTAACAGCTGTCTAGGTTCATAGAAACATACCTTTTAAACGATACAAATGGTATAATATAGTAGGATGAATGACATCCTGTCAGTGGCTGCAGAGGTCAACAATCGGAAGTTTACAAGTGAAAACTAAGATACATACATACTTATTGGGGAAAAAACCCGACATTTTACACCTAAAATCCGCCCCAGATTGAAATGTGCTGAAACTATTTCTTTCATGCATTATAGATTATCAATATACACCCGACCACCAAATCATTTAACAAATCTCAATCAGGGACCGTAACAGACTCCCATTCATTAATTGGCTTATTTTGTTGCATGTGTCGCCCACGTTCTTCTATAAATGCTGTGGTTGTTCTTAGAACATGTCGAAATTCATGGAAATTTAGAAACTCGAAACGTCCATAGATGTTTTATCGGAAATATAATTGAAATTGATTCACGGAGATTCCAGAATTCGAAAATGTCAGTTGTTTACGGTGGACAACGCACGACGCATCAAGAATGACCATTAGTCTTCATACAGAAAAAGTTCTGGTAAAAAAATATTCGGTTAAATAATCGATACTGGCTTTACGTTGCCCGTCGCCTGTAACTGACACGTTCAAATAATACAACCTATTATTGCTGCAAACGTTCAATCCTCTCCTTGGCTGGGTTATCATATTGGAACACAGTTTGAACACCAAGAGAATCTCTGTATTCCCGAAGTGCCCTGTTTGTATCCCCAATCGTTTCGTAACAGATTCCCAACAGATTGTGGACAATCCAGTGTTTACCAGTTCCCTGTTCCTCGTTATACTTCACGGTGTGAAGTTGTGTCAGTGCTGCATCACGACTTCTGGTGTCGTCTAGCTCCTGGTAACACAGAAAGGACAAGAACAGAGCATATGGAATTGGGGGGATTGGAAGCGCCGAATCAGCCTTAACGACTTCCAGGTGTAGCTGAGGCGGCCAAAACTGTCGTGACCTTGAGCTCAGCGCCATATCTGATATAATTCCTTTCTGACATTTCTGTTGTAAAGTATATCCACGTCCACAAAAAAGGTCTTCGTATCTGTCGTAACTGTCAAGCTTTGAACCATAACCAACGTAAATTTTATTAGAAGAAATAAGGTTCCCACATATTTTCAGAGTTTTCGCGTAGTTCCCGGTCTGGTAGTAATATGTTGCCAGCGTTAGTAAACCGGGACTTGCACATATAGCTGAACACGGTGTCAGCAGTCTTCTGCATTTCCTGAGATATTTGTACTTCTGTTTGTTTCCATTGACCGTTGTATGTTTCCCAAATGTTTCCATTTCTGAATTACATATCGCTCGTGTTACACCAACAAAACCATGAAATTCGTCATCGCTTGATGTTGATGTGGACATCAGTGGCAGTAGCACGGGTAAGACATTTGTAGTTGATGGAAATGAAAAAGCTTGGATAATACTCTCCATGTCATACTCACGTTCTAGCTGCGTTTTTGAAGGCTCTATCAGTTCCCATGTTCCGTTTTGTATACTCTCCATATAATCTCCGATAGATGGTTGTATAAAGGTACCAACTGAAAGACATCCCCATGTCATGTCACGAAGATCGATGAGAAAATGAAGAAGTTTTGTTTTGTTTTCATCGTTTACTTTGCCAAGAAACATGTTGTTTCTGTTGATAAAGTAATTGGGACAGTATCCTGCATTCACCCATGATATCAACATGTTTAAACAAAACATGAAACAGAGGAAAGTATGTTTTTCTTGCCATAGTGAATCATGTGTGGTTTCCACTGCATAAAATATGATAGTTTTCATAATATAGGATGACAGGATGTCTGTATCGCCTAGTAATCGTTTCAACATTTCCGATATTTGTTTGAGGAAGTACTTGAGAAGCCCATAAATTAAAAATTGTATATGAGTGAGAGAATGAACGAGTTTCTTTTCCGCAGAGACAAATGAAATTCTCCATTGCATGAACGGTTCACTAGATGTTTTATCTCCCACAGGGACAAGATGGCAGCCATCTTGTACTATCTGGTCACTCAAAGGTTTATCTGGCCACCTACCACAGCGGGGCCTAGTTACCCACTCCTCTGCTTCTTTAGGCCAAGTATAACAAGGTAGAGAAACCACTACATCCATATCCCTGCCGTGATATATGTGTTCATTTTGCAGTGATGAGGCTGGACCATTAGTGTTAAAATTAATTTTATATTTATGGCTAAACCGTTCATTTTGTGCTCGATTAAACATTTCACTTGATAGAAAATACTCATTGCCAATAGGAACAATACAGTCAAAAATGAGTTTAGAAACTCTTTGTGACCTGTGAGCTAATTCCAAGTTTACATAACCAGATCTGCTGCAAGCATTTCGCATCACAAAAACGGATTTCATTGCATTGTCTGTTGTATAACTTGTTTCTCCATCGTGACACAAAACAATGACATTTTCATCAATCAACATCATGTCCGTGTCCGACCCGGCCATATTCAATCCGTCAACCGTACTTCCTGTAAAAATGAATGCTCTTGACCTTCCGTGATTTCTAACTCTCTCATATGAATCCCACTTCTTCCGTGCTCTTGTTACTATCTCTCGGCTCCCTATAAATCTGTCAAGAACATGATAAAGGATCCATGACTTCTCATACTGTTCCACCTGATCCGACATATCTCTTTGATGCTCGAAATCCTACAAAATATTATCACAACATTATTCCGAATGTGGCACGAAAATTTGATGCATAATTCATATATAAACCAGAGGGATCTTGGCGCCCACCATTTGAGGATCTGTTTTCAGTTCTTGATGATTTGTTTATTTTTTTTGTGTGTGTTACAGGTGTTGTAAATGTTCATGAACTGGTCTTCATTGAATGTACTCAATGATGGCACAAGATATTTTTATTAAGCACCTATTAGCAAATATCATTTGAAAAAGATCCCAAAGTATTATTAGATAGCAGTCAGATACAGGTGGATAATGGACAATATGCTTGTGCTGTATTACTGTCGACATCCAAGATGGCTGCCTGTCCAAAAAAGGTACAATGCACAACTAGGGACCAAGGGAAACCAATATCAAATATATGAAATATCAGAAGGATCCATCCAGTACTTCCTCAGATATAGCAGTAACAAGATTTTACTCTCCGAAATCAAGATGGCCACCTGTCGGCCATCTTGAATTCGAATCAGTCCAAAAAAGGTACAATGCACAACTAGAGACCAAGGGGAAACTGCATATGAAATTTGAGAAAGATCCATCCAGTACTTTCCAAGAAATAGCAGTAACAAACTTTTACATTCAAAATCCAAGATGGCCACCTGTCGGCCATCTTGAATTCGAATCAGTCCAAAAAAGGTACAATGCACAACTAGGGACCAAGGGGAACCTGCATATGAAATTTGAGAAAGATCCATCCAGTGCTTTCCAAGAAATAGCAGTAACAAACTTTTACTTCCAAAATCCAAGATGGCCACCTGTCGGCCATCTTGAATTCGAATCAGTCCAAAAAAGGTACAATGCACAACTAGGGACCAAGGGGAACCTGCAAATGAAATTTGAGAAAGATCCGTCAAGTACTTTCCAAGAAATAGCGGTAACAAACTTTTACATCCAAAATCCAAGATGGCCACCTGTCGGCCATCTTGAATTCGAATCTGTCCAAAAAAGGTACAATGCACAACTAGGGATCAAGGGGAACCTGCATATGAAATTTGAGAAAGATCCATCCAGTACGTTCCAAGAAATAGCGGTAACAATAATTGTTTACGGACGGACGACGACCACGGACGCAGGGCGATTTGAATAACCCACCATCTATTTGAATAGATGGTGGGCTAAAAATCTTTAATAGATCAATTGATACAAAAATGGAGAAACGAAACGGAAAATTCATCTAGAGGCTTATTCTATAGTAGTTTTAAAAATTCTTTACTGCTTGAGCCATACCTGACTCAACTCTCTGTTAAAAACAGGCAGATTTTATGCAAAATTGGATGTTGTAATATGAAATTTCCCATTGAAACTGGAAGATGGCGCAATGTTCAGAGACAGGATAGGGAATATTCTCTATGTAATACCTCAGTAGGTGACGAATTCCATTACTTTTTTCAGTGCACTGATGCAAGTTTGATTGAACTGAGACCTTCATATTACTGGAGAAATCCAAACGTGTGCAAAATGTACGGATTGCTCTCAGTTTGTTATAAAAAAGGTTCTAAATGGCTCTTGTTTATTTTTAAACAGTCTTGACAAAATATTGTGAGAAAGATAATGTTTTCATTATATAAGTGGTTTTATGAAACCCAAGTATATCAGCTTTATAAAAAGCTACCAGATGCCATGTATTTACTTTAAAACAATCATAATCAAATATTGTGAAGAAACACTATCATTATATAATATCAAAGGGTATTTAGATGTACTAATTGATATCAGTCTTTTACATATACACCTGATGCCCTCTGTTTATTTTAAACAGTGTGGTGTTATAATAGCAAAGTGTATATAATGTGCAAATTGCTATCAGTTTGATATAAATACTTAATACCCCAGTTTATTACAATGTCTAAACAAAATACTATGTTATCCTTAAATAATGTGGTTTAATGAAACCAATTTGATATACAAATGTACCTAATACAACAAGAGGCCCATGGGCCTTAACGGTCATCTGACAAAAAGCAAGCCAAACCTAGAAAGTGGGTTGAGGTCATTCATTTGAACAAACTTGGTAGCCTCTCCTCCAAGCATCTTACAGGCCCAATATCAGCACTCATGGACTTTTGCTTGTTGAGAAGAAGTCGTTTGTATATTTTAACATATTTGACCCCTGTGACCTTGAAAGTGGGTTGAGGTCATTCATTTGAATAAACTTGGTAGCCTTTCCTCCCAGCATGCTACAGACCCAATATCGGCACTCATAGACTTTTGCTTATTGAGATGAAGTCCTTTGTATATTTTAACATATTTGACCCCTGTGACCTTGAAAGTGGGCCAAGGTCATTCATTTGAACAAACTTTGTAGGGCTCCATGCCAGCATGCTATGGGCCAAGTATTAGCCCCCTAGGCCTTCTAGTATTTGAGAAGAAGTTATTTAAAGATTTTGACATATTTGACCGACCTGAAAGTTGTTCAAGGTCATTCATTTAAATAAAAGTTGCATGCTACAGACCCAATAGGTCAGACTTTTGCTTATTGAGATGAAGTCCTTTGTATATTTTAACAAACTGTGATAGCATTTGAACAAACTTCATGCCAGCATGCTATGGGCCAAGTATTAGCCCCCTAGGCCTTCTAGTATTTCAGAAGAAGTTATTTAAAGATTTTGACACCCCTGTGACCTTGAAAGTTGTTCAAGGTCATTATAAACAAACTTGATAGCCCTTCATCCCAGCATGCCACAGGCACAATATCAGCAATCTGAGCCTTTTGGTTATTGAGAAGAAGTTGTTTAAAGATTTTAACATATTTGACCCCTGTGACCTTTAAAGTGGGTCAAGGTCATTCATTTGAACAAACTTGGTAGTCCTTCATCCCAGCATGTCACAGGCCCAATATCTACACTCTGAGCCTTTTGGTTAATGAGAAGAAGTTGTTTAAAGATTTTAACATATTTGACCCCTGTGACCTTTAAAGTGGGTCAAGGTCATTCATTTGAACAAACTTGGTAGAGCTCCATGCCAGTATCCTCTGTGCCAAGTATTAGCCCCCTAGAAACCTTCTAGTATTTGAGAAGAAGTCGTTTGAATGAAAAGTTTACGGACGGCGCACGGCGGACGGCGCACGGCGGACGACGACGGACGAAGCATGATGACTATAGGTCATCGGACCCTTCGGGTCAGATGACCTAAAAATGTGAAGCAGTACTGTGTTATCATTATATAATGTGGTGTTATATTAAAGTGTATTTGAATGTACTAAATGCACCATGTATATTTCAAAGTCTTAACAAAATATTTTGAAGAAACACTATGGTATCATTATATAGCGTGATTTTATGCTACCAGCTTGATTTATATAAGTAAATTGTATTGTTCTAGTTGTTACCAGTCTGATCTATAGAAGTATTGTGTACTTTGAATAGTCATAACAAAATACAGTGAAGCGTTACGACTCTCAGTTACCATCCATTTTGTCACGTATCTATTGATATAGTATTGTTTTACCTCATGTTATACATTTTCATGTATCTGAGGCTCCAATAAACTTGAACTTTAACTCGAAAGTTCTTTATAAATCTGGCTAGGTCGATTTACAAACGTTCGGTCCGCCCCGATTACGTCATAATATGTTTGCGTTGTTATTAGCCGAAAAGAATGAAATATTTTTGTTAATTATAAAACCAAGCCTAATGAGATAATAAAATTGTAAAACAAGCAGAAATTTCAGTGTACAGCATAAACACTTGTGGAGTTACCAAATACGTATTATCTATGACCCAACAACCTTTCAGTTCCAGATTTCCCGACGCGCTATGTTTTGCTGGCAATATTCCCACCACAGGAGAGATATTTTTTATGCTGACAATAGTTTCAAACAATCACAAACCTACAAAATCACACACCTACTAAATCATATACTTACTTAATAACGCATTAACTAAATCACACACAAACAAATTCACACACTTAATAAATCACACACCAACTAAAATTACATAGCTTCTAAATCATACACCAAAAAAGCAAATTTTATTTAGATTAAGACTCGGATGCGAAGTAATTTGTACATCATCAGAATATTACAAAAATGTGGACTTATTAAAAGCTTACCGGGGTTAGTCGAAGTGTGACCACAGATCTGTATTATACGTCCCTGTTTTTCTGTAGTGAGGTCACCGCGGTAGGGCTGTAGTGAAATATTCTCCTCGGCACTTAGGCGTTGTCTAACTGGAACTTTTCACATCGTCGTCATCACAGTCGATTCAGAGTGTAGATTTCCGTCAAAAGATCATACTTTCGTTATTTGAATTCAGCACTAAACGATACCACTTACCGTTTGTCATTTCCGTGACATCCGTACGTATTGTATATCGTCTGCCATTAAGAGTGAGTCATATCCTAGGTACTCACTAAATATGTTGTGGTCTTCCAGTCGACTACACAGCCTATTGCGACGGCCTTTCAGACAAAATTTACCGATCCTGGCCTTCTCATTGGCTGAAATATCGAAAAAATTTAGAGCCCTCTAGCGGCAATTTTCTGCGTAAATAATGCCGCGTTCTTTCAAATCGCTATTTTAAAAGCATCCAAAATTAGTTAATTTTTTAATAACAATACGATTACTATATATTTCAAAAAAGAAGCACAGTGTGGTTGAACTATTGATAAATTTTGAACAATATATTTTACGGAATTCTCGACATGACGTACGGCGTACAAAACACTGCACGTGCGAGTTGATAAGAAGCTAGTCTGGGGGCTTGGTTTGAATTATCAACTAACAACACTTATAAACAAACAAAACTTACAACAGAACATCAATATTTTGTTTTAATCCTTGTCGTTGTGGCAAGATCGTCTTAATATATAACATCACTTTACCTCATTAGACGTCACCGAATTGGACTGTTCGTCCCACGCGCACACCCGCCGATATGACACTTTTTCAGGTTTTTCACACCCACCGCCATGACACTTTTTAAAGTTTTTGTAGATAAAAAGTTTGCGCTTCGTAGGCAAGGTACATTTGGTTCTCATGATTTATGAATGATATATTTTAATACTGTACTGATCATGATGTTGACTCTGTTATAACTTATATTTTTTGTCTTTTAGTTTTATTTGATGAAGGTTGATTGTGCTGATTTCTCAAGGTTTGTTAATGTGTATCAAAGCGTGTATAAAAAAACCCAAAATATTCATGTTTATAATTATCAATTAACTAGAAAGAAATATTTCTATAACATATTCATTAATTTAGCGTGTCATGGTGACATTATCTAATGTATTGGAGATCAGAAATAGTAATAGCTATAGTGAAAATATTGTAAATTTTGTATATATATGGAAGTCTGGTTTAATCTCAAAGAACTGTGTCTTTATTGACATAACTACTGGAAGAAAAGTCTAACCATGATACTTCAAGGAAGATAGGCATGTAAATACATTTAATGTGATTACCTACACTTTAATCGATCTGAAATGCTGTGTACACCTTATCTACTTTCCTCAACTACAAATATAATTATAATAAGTAAGGATTATTACTTTGCAACATATTCAAAATAGAGAAGTAGGTATAAAGTCCTTTCGATTTGTCTAAATCCTCATATTGATAGGATAGTAATTGCAACATATTGGGTATTTCAAAGGTTTTATTTAGTCAACTTCATCATAGAGCTATTTATCATTTGGCTTGTTGGCGATAAATATATGGTTTTTTTTTACCTATTTTGATTTGTTCACATTATTGTCGTCAAATTTGAAATAAGAATTAAAGAAGATATAAAATCGCTTAAAATTAAGAAATATAGCCCCTGGTTCTCTTATTTTAGTAATTTTTGCATTTCAAAGTGTAGGAGTATGGGGAAAGTAATATAGCTTTGCGGTTATCTGTGAGCATTTTTCAATACGTTTAGCCTTTCAGTACTTTGATTATTTGACTGCATTGACCTTCTGTCTACTCGAGACTGTTTTTGTCGTAACATTACATGTCTAAAATCCCCTTTGAAACTGTTGAGATTTGTAAAATTCTACTTTACCTGAAAGATGTTGGTCTATATAATAGACTATGACGTACCATTTTAATATTTTATGTTAACATACCCATTTAAGATGTTTAACATTTGTCTTTTACCTTTTGGTTTGTTTAATGTTATTTCCTTTTGGATCGCTATGTGCTGACGGGCCGTTAAGAATGCCATAATAACGATAATAATCTTGAGTGTCTGTAAAATATCACAACTCGTGAACGTGCGCGCAGTGTGTATGTGTAATTAGTTCAAGTACTTCAGTCATCTAGTCGCTTCTTTAACAAACAAAGATGCAGCTATCAAGAACGCATCAGTTTCTCAGATAACAATACATTGGGTAACTACAAATGTTTCGAATATAGTTTTTATTAATTACTTGGTGACTTTGTACACTAACTAACTGAGTTAATTTATGAACAGGTCGCTGTACCAATAATACTTCCTAATATTATTAACTGCGTTATGACACTAACCAATTGATTTAACTTATAAACAGGTCACTTTACCAATAATATTTCTTAATATCATTATTAATTTATGACTTTGTACACCAACCAACTGAGTTAACTTATAAATATTTCCTAATATATTTACTATATATCTTGTTACAAAGAACATGTAAGTAAGAAAGGATAATCATTTTCAATAGAATACATTATATAAAAGATACATAATCCCTTTGATGTTTCAATGTTTCGATGTCTACAGCCATCAGTGAGCTGACATATGTGTCTTCTATGAATATAATTCTTGACGATGAAGGCGAACGTGTAAATTTTCTTAAGAAGAATCGTAATTAACGCCCCCCCCCCCCCACAACACACCACAACACACACACGCAGCATTAAATAGGGTCAGCTCGTCAAAATAGGTAGAAATCATAACCGTTTCCTCTAAAATTAATAAAGAGCGAGAGTAGCAAAGGTCATTTATTTTCAACTTGAACAAAAACAAGAGTATCGTTTAACAGTGACACAGGATTTCAAACAAGTACAAAAAATTAACTTTTTTATAAACTTACCATGAATTCCATTCTTCATGAGTTTGCATTAAACGTTTTCTTGAAAGAGCTGGTATTATTGTGTAATGAATTACAAAAATAGCGTTACACGTAATAAAACCTGGTCGATAACCAAACATGTCCCACCCATGACATCATTATTCTCCCAAACTTTAAGAAGCCGATTATTGAATTTATTTACAAATAAATAATTTACAAAAAACAGCTGATCAGATAAATTCTTCTGAAATTATTTAAGTCTATTACATTACATTCCTATTTCAAAGGCGGAGACCAACTTTCTTGAAAAAAAATAACCATATTGAAAGATATAAATAAATTGTTTTGTCAAAAATCAACCAGACATTTCATTACAACCATGAGCCTAGCCACTTCTTAATTCATCAATTAATTTTAAATATAGTTATGTTATCTCATATCGGCTATTCATTATTTCCCGTCAATGTTTTGGGTAAATAGCCATGTTAAATCTAACGAAGGAGAGGAATAGATGTAAGATTATAACTTGTTTTTTAAATTATCTTTATTTATTTTTATCATATCATGTTAGATCTGAAATGCAAAACTGATTAAATTTATAATTTTGTTTATACTATCTACTGTTTATATTGGTTTCAAGTTCCAAGTAGTTAATTGTATTGTTACCCATACAACTGTATTGTCAGGATTATCTGAATCCTTATCATAACGTTTGTTAAAAGAATTCTTGTGGTTACACCTTCGTAAATAATCAATAACAACAAGAAAAATACCAATATGCGAACGGAATCATAAACCAAACACATTAAAACTAAGGCAAAAGAAAGATTTACACGCCGACTCTCGGAGAATTAGACGAGGTGTACTGGAAGGGAAAGCGTCTTTTGCTTCATCGACAACATCCGTCATATAAATATTGACCAATCTAATCTGTCCACTGTTATTATTATTGTCTAAAAACACGAATGAATGGATCCATAAGGTTCGTAAATTAATTTCAGATCGTGAATGACCTGTTCACTCAATCAGCAAGCTCGTAACACGCGATCAGTGTTGACCAGCAAAACTTCATCAAAGTAATTTTTACTAAGACAAAGGCTAAGACTGGAGACATTGGTTACACTTCCCAGGCCTCACCATCACTAAGATTGTAAAAGAAAACTGCTGCAAGTTGTACATAGAAAGAGGCATGATTAGAGAATTCGGTGTAATTACACACGATAAATCGGCTTATCATATTTAAAAAGAAAAAAATGGTTAAAAACACTCAAACCTAGTGTATCACAATATTTTGAGTCACGTCCTTCATTAATACATATACTATTTACTTTATACTAATTTAGTAATTTATTTTTACAAATATTTTGACCACGGCAAGGATTAACAAGAGTAGGTATACTCTCACCTCATACACACGTAAATAACAATTTCATAATGCAAAGTATGATACCTGCATATAATTATTTTCTAGTTGTTAACATCAAGAAATTTCTTCTATCATACATTATGACTATAATAGAACGGTTTGGAACTACTTTTTGTTTTGATTATGGTCGAGGGTTAGCGCGAACGCAGACCCCCACACTAAAAAATAGCGTACCCGAGTAATCCGCATTTGGGATTATCGCAGGGTTCAGCCCGACCGGAGTGCAATGGAAGGGCCTCGACCTGGGGGAACCGCCTTGCTGATCACGGTATCCCCTGTACCAGGTAAGTATGAGTTGTTACGTTACTGGTACAGTATAAGAACTTCACCTAAGCTGACGAAGTCGGAGTATATTAAAATTAGCATATTGTAATAAATATTTATTTTTATTTACAAGATTTTACAAAGAATTTCATCAACTTTCTATACATTATTATACAGAACTATATTTAAATAATGTTAAATAAGAATGGGAATTTAACCCTCATCCAAATTGTTGTAATTTATGTTTATTATTAAATATTTAGTCATAAGAGATAATCTAACAGGGGAAATAATTCTGTCTAATTGAAGGGAAATAACTCTTGAATATCAGACTACAATTAGAGACTTTAAATCTTTTGATATTGTAATCAGAATTCCGAGATTGTCATATGAAAATCACGTCGTAGTTTTCAGACTTATGAACGGCACTCAATACTGAAATAGGAACAAAACAGAATGTGTTACACGTACTTTTTTACTGACGCCGTATCTACTGTACAGTAACTAGTAGCTGAAGTTCAAACAACCATTTTTGAACTAGGCGATCGTAAATAGTATTTTGACAGCCATATCGTTATAGTAATACCAGTAATAAATATGTGTTACGAAGCAATAAGCATTGAAGATCCACAAGAAAACGATTGTTTTGCGCTAAAAAAAGGTTACTTTTTTCCGGTTCGAAAATTATTGTGTACCTGTCGGAAGTCATCAATTACCCCTGTTTCCGGTATAAGATGATCATCGCCAATTCAGAGCTATCAAACTAAGAAAGCTCGCTGTAACATCCCAGAATGGTAAAACAGCGGACATGGAATCGTCACCAGATGATGTTGACACACTGACCGCCCGTCTCAAACGGGATAGCGGCTCGGACAGCGACTCCAGTAGCACGGCAGAGGAAGAAAGACTACGAAGACTGTTCGACAGTTGTGATGCGGATGGAGACGGACTTCTGGACAGGTGAGACTTAAAACTTATATCCAATCACACTTTCTGTTGTCAGGTTAATAGTCATACTGTTCTATAACTTAGCTGATCAATGGAATTTGTCTCGCTAGCTTGGCGAGGATGTAACTACGTCAAATAATTGGGTTTCGGAGACAGAGGCTGCTGTGGTATTTAATATATTTCTAATTCCTTGAAGTTTTGCTACCTAATTCAAAAACATACGGTTATTCGTGCAAAAATATTAGGATCTTACCAATTAAATGCTTGTATTGGTGACCAATGGCAATGATGGGGTTGGTGACCAATAAATAGCATTAACAAAATAAAAAAAAATGGTACCACTTTTTACAGCTTCTTCAGTGCCTACATTAGGTTTCAAACACATAACCTACTGGTTACTAGTCTGATGCTGAACAGGTATAGAGAAGTTCTTTTTAGTTTAGCTGAGTGGTAAATTGCAGCTAGCATTTTATATATGCTATATATCTTAATATACTGTCAGAATTTCAAACACAACTGAGCAGATCTTTCAGAAATTTGTGCTATGATCTTTACATGCATGTATTTCATAAAAGATCTGTAAAATGACCTTATCAATGTCTCACAAAAGTTACATAAATGTACAGGTGTTATTACAAATCATTGGTAAATCTGGACAGAAAAAGTTGTTCCAATGGCAGATAATAGTTATTGCTTGATACATGTAAATGAATCATATCATTTCCAACAACAAGTTTTTGGTATCAAATTCTAGACTTAAACCTACAGAATCTAATCATATTGAGGATGGCAATAAGCATAGAAAGATGAAACTTATGATATGAAGGATTTGGTTCCAGGTAATAATTAATGTTTTGGAGTTAAGTCACCTAATGTGCTGGACTATGCATCCTTACATAATTATCATGATAAACCATGATTGCTAATATTTATTGTACATCTTTATTTATTAAAACTTCTTACCATTTCTTTGCTAGCAGTTTAATTACACACATTAAATAACTTCTTTTTACACATGTGTAATTTGACCTAGCAGAGCTATGATTGGCTGAAGGTCCTGTTTGCTTTCATTATGACATCATCAGTTTAAACATAAAATATTTTTTGAACAGATGTGGTGAATGTTTTAAAGCTATGTGATAAACACAATCTTATATTTTTCCAATTCATATAGAATTTTCTGAATAAACTCATCACAGATTTTTTTATATTACCTCAATAAATACACAGTGTAATGAAAATTTTGTGATGTGCGAAGAATTTCAGAAATCACATATCAAATGAGAAGTTTCGAACCTTTTCATCATATCAATTTCTCTACTCTATATTTATAGTCGCCATTGTTACGTCACGTGTGAATGTGTGATGCGTCTTCATTATCTAATCCAATGTTACAAGCTGTATTAGGTTACGTTACACCTGTGTAGTACACAAAATTAGTTTTGTGGTATATTCACAGAATATTAAGGTAATCATGTGATCAATTAAAGAAATACCAACTTTAGTCCTAATCCATCGATAATGACATTTAAGGTAATAATGTACTTGTACAGTAACTTTTATGACAGCTGTTTTTTGTTTCTTTAATCTTTTAACAAGGACTTTGATATTTCACAGAGAAGTTGTATTTGTACCAGTAAGGTTTAAATTTTAGTAATCAAACATGATTCTGGTATCATTAATTCAACAAAGTAGAAGATTTGGAAACTTTTTTAATATGTTGCATATTTAAGCTCTAGACACTTTAAGATTAAATAATTTTCATGTTGTACGGAATTATCATTACTGTAGCTGGTCAACATAATACCCTAGATGATAAAATTGACACATGGGAGGTTTACTTATATCAAATCCCTTGATGAGTCCCAGTTGGAGTTCTCATTTTGTTGATAAATATGATATGCAGTTTTTCCAATTGTAGATTAAATTTTCTTAAAATGTGCATAACAGCCCTATATTCACTTATAAAAAGACTTATTTATAACGACTGTCTCAGTTACACAATGGAAAGGTTTAGTTTTTTTTAAATATATCTTTTTTTATCTGGTCAAGTAGATATGATGGTTGTGTAGAGTCAAGTCCAGGACTAATGAACATCATTGTGATAGTCTGGTATTGTATAGGAGTCCTTGACCTTCTGTCGGAAATAACTCTCTATATTGACATCATGTTGTACAAGGAAAATGTGTAGGTGAAGATAAAGTGTTTAGTCTAAAGTTCCTGTACGAAATGTTTTTTTTTTAATTCTGATGTTACATACATAAAGGTCTGATAGATAATTTCAGTTTTCTATTGTATGATGTGGCTGTACACGAATAATTAAAGGGTACACTAGAAAATTTCAAAATATGTTCAATGGAGTATCATTTAATATTTGTTTTTTACTTGTAAATGTGAGATTGGATATACTGTGCTGATGTTTGTGGATATTTTATGATTTAAAAGTTGACAATAACTGTGTTGCAGACATGACTTTGAATACATGTGTCGACAACTCAACATGGAGGATTCCTCAGCTGAGATTATGGCTCAGATTGGCATGGTTACAGACAGCAGGATCTCCTTCCAGGACTTTATACAGTCTCGCTCACAGGTAAGTCATCAGAGAGCCTTGGACAACTTTTAACAGTAAAATACTTTTTACAGTTTCCCACACAGATCAGTCACACATCAGTCACAGGGAAGATTTAATAGCACAGAGCTTTGTACAGTCTCCCTCACAGGTAATTGAGAAAAGCTTTGATGACAGTGTTACGATAGTATGATCACTTTTGTGATATTATTGTGACAGTCAAGTGACTATTGTGATATTATCACAATAGTTTTTTCATCTTTGAAACATATTTTCAAATACAGAAATAAATGCAGAATTTACCAAATATTACAAGTGAAAAAAATACACAACAGTTTTCGCTTAAAAAAGTGTGCATTTTACGTGGAAATTTACGGTATTACAATTTGTATACAATCAAGTATGTTGCATAGTAATATTGATTCCATTTTATTGTATTATCATGGTATTCATACCATTTGTGATAATTGTTATGTAACTCATACACAGATAAACTCAAGACTGTACAATGTATAAGTTTTACGGTAAGTTTAGTATAATTTATTCTTTACATTTAGCTTGTTTTACATTTCAAAAGGTGATGGATTAATTCAACAATAGTATAATTATTTGGTTTTGATATTAAGGTTGACACATTTTATACATGTTGCCTTTTTTTGGGGGGACATTTTTAAAAATGCTACTTTCTGCCGTGTTCTTTCTCAAAATGGATTTCAAAGATGTTTTACTTGGATGTGGAATTAAGGAAATCACCACCTCCCTCACTGTAGTCTGTAGATTTAATTAGACCCTATTGGATATAACAATATAACACTTATCTAAGATATAAACTCTTGTTGATGTAAAAACTTGTGCTTAAAATTCTGTTTCCATTTTAAGTAGGTGATTGTGCCGTTCTTGTACTTTTTATGCTTTCCCCCTAATTGAGATCCTAAGACGCATTTATAAATAAACAAAGGCAAGCCTGCAGCCATTTGACAATAACTTGGTGAAAAATCTTGCGTTCTGGTGGCATTTTTGTTTAGTAAAAGAAATTATCTTTAACAATCAATAGTTGGAAAACTATCAGGATGATTATTGATTTGAAAATATCCTGTTGACCTTCTAAAGCTACACATTGATAAGTAAACCTATCGTTACACTACTACTAGCTAGGTAGGTAGCATACAGAAAGAAATTATTACCTTACAAACTAGGATTTAATATTTTGTGTGCCGTATACAGGTGCTGGCGGACTCGGACACTGGTCAGTACATGGATGATACTGGGATAGAGTCTGACCACAGTGGCCTGGTCAAACAACCCCAGGCTAATATTACATCCTGGCCGACAATGAGCAGTGATAGCTTTGGTAAGTTTTCTGTTAATCTGAGGATGTTCATTGTAGACAACTACTGAAGGTGGAAAATCTCATTGTTCAACACTAATTTTTTTCAAGGGAGACAGCAAGTCTTCTTTTGTCCAATTTCTGACAGATGTCAAAAATATCATGAGGACCATTATCACTGTTCTGAAATGTAGGGACAGCACATAATGGTTTTAGCTTACCTGATCTGAAGGACCAAGATTATCATATGCCATACTGTTGGACCGTTGTCTAGCCGTCAGGCATCCATTAACAACACTGCTAAAATCCTTCTTCTGGTGGAAAGATTCAATTTAAGCTAGGATAGATATGAAGCATCCTTGGGTGAAAAGAACTTAGATTTGTATAAACAATGAATGTAACCCCCTTGGAGCAGAGGGGTGGGGCCTAATAGGGGAAATAGATATAAGTGTTTTGAATACTTTTCAGTTAGCTAAGATTAATCAGTTTCAGCAAAATGAACCAGTTGATTGAAACAGACTGTATGGGCCTCTTGTTAAATTACTAATCCAGATATGATAGATTTGATATATGACAGGTTTTTAGTTGCTTTATCACTATTCAGTTTCATTTTGCTATATCAACATAAGGAATTCTATTTACTCAGAAAGACAAGGTTTAGACCGTAAACATGGTGTTTAGAATAGCTTAGTGAAAGACAGTCTTATTGGAATGATTGTACGAAGACACTTTCAATTTCTGTTTAATATTAGATACACTAGCGGTTTGTTTCTCAGGAAGCTGCTATCAAGGTTGTGTTCATGGGCAAGACACTTCCTTAATTGATTATGTTCTACTCCCAAACAAACAAATACAGTATACATAGCTGGTTTGTTCTTGCATGACTCCTCATTGATGCAAGGGGTCAAAAGTGTAGGAGTTTAAAATCAGCTTAGACAATTGTTATTACATAGAGAATAGTACAATCAGTATGACAGATAAATATTACTGTATGATTTTAAATAAGGTTCAAGATTAGGTCAGCAGTAAAGCTAAGTGATTGTATCAGATCGTGTGATGAGGTCAACCTATTATTGGCCGTATTGTAACCAGCCTGAATTGTGAAAAATGGTACAATCTTCTGATCTTTCTTACCTGTGGTTAGTATGTAATTTAAACATGACTTTTAGATCTCTAGTTAATGGGCTCCATTCCCAACAGAAATCATTTTATACTTATGTCAAATTCCAAAAATTTGCAATATACATTAATTATTTTTTTTTATAACGTTACACAATGCATACAGATATGATAACTACACAATGCATACAGATGTGATAACTATACAATACATACAGATGTGATAACTATACAATACAAACAGATATGATAACTACACAATGCATACAGATGTGATGACTATACAATACATACAGATGTGATAACTACACAATACATACAGATGTGACAACTATACAATACATACAAATGTGATAACTATACAATACATACAGATGTGATTACTACACAATGCATACAGATGTGATAACTATACAATACATACAGATGTGATAACTACACAATACAATATAGGATGGTATGTTTATTACTGATAACACTGTTTTTGTGTTAAGTCTAAAATGTCTACAAGTTGGTATCAGCCTAAGTACTGTTACACCCCCTGAGGTGAAATCACCCCCTGGAAAGTGTCCTCTCTCAAATTTTAATATTTTGCTGCATCTACTTATGGCTGTTTGTTTTTAACATCAATGTTTTTGGCCTGGAAGAAAAGTGCTTAATTTTTCTTGTGAAAAAAACTGTTCTTTCGAATCCCACTTAAATTTTCGGATGGTGCTGTTTGCGGATTGGTTTCACTAATTAGTAATCACCTGCAGCAGTCATCTGGGAACGGTAAGAGTTTAGCCAGGATATCCAGAATCATGGGCAGATAAAGGATGTGATATCAAAGTGGTCATATGATAATTCTAAGTTATGACCAGATAATAAAGAACTTTGGTATCACTGTTGTATTTAGTTAATGGTATGATAAATAAGACTGATTGTTTTCAGTTCAATACTTTGTATAATTTTTACCTAAATCACATTGCTGTTTTTAGGAGCACACTCTGGTAAGCCTGACAGTGTTGACTATGATAGTGGAGCCCGAGATATGAGTCCAGAACCCCCATCTCTCCAAGCCTTGATGGAAACCCATGACCCAACTATTGCACAACATGGTGATAGTAACACCAACGGCATGCTGGACCTCGCGAACCGCGTGAGTGCTTGGCTTTATCTTATGCTGAAAACGAAGTTCATACAAACTAGAAATGTACTTGAATTTTCTGTGTCTGATTTGAAATGCTCTGCATTTCAGGCCTTAAAATGCCATCAAGTTTGGATATAAGATCTTGGAAATTGATGTCAGGCCTTAAATATTTATATATTAACACTGTTGATTGTAAAGAAAATTTTATCAATTTTTGATAATCTATTGATAATGTGAAAGAGGAACAATTTGGTAGAAATACAAGACGGAATTAAAATTTGGAAAAGACAAAAAGAAAAGAGAAACAATACATACTGAAATAAGGATATTTCCCCCTCTACTGTCACAAAGTGTTGCACTAAAACCTGAAAACCTTGAAAAATGTCCTAATTTTGATACATTGTCATTTGTATGAGCTTTGATAAACGTTTCTCCTCTGGTACTGTGCAGTAAAACCTCAGGATCGGCATGAAGGTTTTGTTATATTGTGTAGCAAATAAAAAGGGGGAGGGGAGGAGAGGAATATCTTAATTAAAAATTAATTTCAAGTCGGCTTCATCTTTGGAAAGTTTTCGACTACTTACACATTTCTAATTCAATAAAGTATACTTTCATGCGAATCTCTGACATTTACTCAAAATCATGTACATTTTTTGTGGTATATTTATTTTTGTGTTAATTTGTGAGGAGAGCCAATTACTAACTCAGATCACTGGTGATTATTTGTATGAAGCTCCTTGTGACATCCTTGTTACTCTATTGTTAACTTATTTTTACTTCTGTTGAATTTAAATACATCTGATCATATCATCACAAACAAAGATGTAAGACACATATTACTTTCAAAGTCAAGCATCATTAAAACTCTGTACTTTTAAACAACATTTTTTTAAAACTCTGTACTTTTTAACAACATTCCTGTATTGCTGTCTTTAGAACTTCACAAAATGCTGTCAGTCAAATGTACAGCTATGATTCTGAGGTCGAGTACATAGCAAATGTGATATGATTGAAAATCCTGGACGCTATATATGTGTTGAAATGGTGCTAAAATATTTACAGGGTTTATCACATGTAAAATATGTATGATATTGAAATTAAAAAGAGAAACAAAACAAAATTATTAAAACTTGTCAAAGATGTTACACGCTGGGGACAACTACCCTGTATAAGTATAAACAGGTTACAAAGTGTAACACTAAACACTACACAGACTTGACAATAAGTCTGGTCTATTGAAGACCTATCACCTTATCTTAGTGTAAAAGGAGCGGGTCGGTGTGGCTTGTACATAGTGTTAAATACGGTCTCTGTCACTCAGCTGACGGAGCATGCTTCTTTGGCTCAGTTGGTAGAGCACTGGCTTATCACGCCGGAGACCCGGGTTCGATTCCTGGTCGGGGCACTCGACAGGAATGTGTATTTTCCCTGTTCTTCTACATTAGAAACAACTCACTTTGATGTTCACACATAAAAGCATGTGGAGCATTTATGTTCATTTCATTTGTCTCCATACTTTACTCAGGTAAATACAATTCAGTATGGTCATAACATGTATCACATGACTAGATTATTTTTCAGGTACAAATGGTCACATGACTCTCATTAACAACATGTTTTTATCTTTGAAGATAAAAATGCATCTTTTCATCTAAACTTGTGTTTTGTTACTTGTTGTGTTTGTTGAGGGAGAAATATAATGTCATCAACTATATATAGCCATGAACTTGAAAATATCTCTCTAACCTACCAAGAAGGATTCAAAACCTAGATATTCTATTGGTAGTCCCTTGAACTTCGAAACATTGAGGTTTGACTGTATTCACAAATCATAGTGATTTACAGTGTAGTAACTGTTAAAACCATATTAAGGAAAGCATGATAATTATTATATTCACACATTTGTTGTACAATTTGCATTAAAAATCCGTAAAATGTTAGCGTTTTATTACCAATGTACAATCCTTTGGATGGAAAAAGCCATTTTGACGGTGTATATTTTTTCGTCTCTATTGGTAACACTTATGATACCATTGTTACATGAGTAAGTGTATATACCGTCTAATATTTCCTAGTTTTACTGGTGTCCTGACACAAATCACCAACAGCTTTTCTCAGTATACTCAACATACACAAATTATACTGAGATACATAAGAGGTGTGAGGGGGTAGTAAAAGGACCATTTATCACACTGTTTAGTTGATGTCACAATAAGGGAAACATAGCCCTTTGGTCCCTTTTAGGACTATCCTTGGTGTTCTAGGAGGTATAGAAAACACTTGAGATGTTGTGTCCAGTTCTACACCATAACGTAATACAACATGTGTCTGACAGTTTTTACACAAATTATACATATATATAGATGTGTCTGACAAGCAACATTCCTTATGCATCACAGCATTACATATGTAGCAACTTTACAAAATTTGTTCAAAATAGACATATCATACCTTCTTCCTCTCCAACCCTAAAATTTCCAATTGGGTATAGGCAAACAAACAATATTTCAATATTTGTAAATTTGAATGTTTGAAAGAATTTTGCTTTGCTCATGTTGTCTCTATTTAAAATGTGATGGGATATTGAGTGTAAGATTAAGAACATGTTTGAAGTTTATAGAAATCAATGGTTAAATTTAAGATGAGGTTTACAGGAAATGTCAGTGATGTGAAAAGGGTTTGTGTGACAGATGAACAACACTTGTATTGTAGCGTTTCGTATATCTAACATGAACTTAATTTTGTGATTTGTTGAAACTACTTCCCCTCTCACATGTGTTTAATTATTATGCTATAAACAAATTTAACTCTCAAAGGGAAATGTATAAACCATGTTTTATGAAGGGAGATCACTCTGTCAGTCATGTTGATTGATTACTCAAATGCTAAGATTTCAGAATATCTAAAACTGGAAATTTCTAAGCAAGCTGTAACTTTATAATAATTGTTATTTTCATTGATGTACATTGTACAGCTGTTAAGTTTCAAAGAACTAATTTTTCACAGTTGTTGTGTGTTAAGCATTTTCACATGTATTAAAATTTGCACTGACGTGTGAACTAGTGTCTATGTATACAGGTATTTCTGAAATTTTCAGTCAGTGTAGAAACGTTTGTCAGGTATTTAATTTACTGGCTCTTAATACAGCAAAACTAATTTCCCCCAGAATATTACTAACCAAACAACAATCAACCACATCATAATGGTGGACTTGAATCTCTTACTGTCCATGACAAGCCTGACCTTTCCTTATGGTCTCAAAATATCTAGATAAAAAAACAAAATTGCCCTGACATATTTAGAGATGGATAGGAAAGTGAAATTGTCCTCAGATTTATAGAGACGGATAGGAAGATGAAATGGTCCTAAGATTTATAGAGATGGATAGGAAGATGGAATTGTCCTAAGATTTATAGAGACAGATAGGAAGATGGAATTGTCCTAAGATTTATAGAGATGGATAGGAAGATGGAATGGTCCTAAGATTTATAGAGACAGATAGGAAGATGGAATTGTCCTCAGATTTATAGAGACAGATAGGAAGATGGAATTGTCCTCAGATTTATAGAGATGGATAGGAAGATGGAATTGTCCTCAGATTTATAGAGACAGATAGGAAGATGGAATTGTCCTCAGATTTATAGAGATGGATAGGAAGATGGAATTGTCCTCAGATTTATAGAGATGGATAGGAAGATGGAATTGTCCTCAGATTTATAGAGACAGATAGGAAGATGAAATGGTCCTCAGATTTATAGAGACAGATAGGAAGATGGAATTGTCCTCAGATTTATAGAGATGGATAGGAAGATGGAATTGTCCTCAGATTTATAGAGATGGATAGGAAGATGGAATTGTCCTCAGATTTATAGAGACAGATAGGAAGATGGAATGGTCCTCAGATTTATAGAGATGGATAGGAAGATGGAATTGTCCTCAGATTTATAGAGACAGATAGGAAGATGGAATTGTCCTCAGATTTATAGAGACAGATAGGAAGATGGAATTGTCCTCAGATTTATAGAGACAGATAGGAAGATGAAATGGTCCTCAGATTTATAGAGACAGATAGGAAGATGGAATGGTCCTCAGATTTATAGAGACAGATAGGAAGATGGAATGGTCCTCAGATTTATAGAGACAGATAGGAAGATGGAATGGTCCTCAGATTTATAGAGACAGATAGGAAGATGGAATTGTCCTCAGATTTATAGAGACAGATAGGAAGATGGAATTGTCCTCAGATTTATAGAGACAGATAGGAAGATGGAATTGTCCTCAGATTTATAGAGACAGATAGGAAGATGGAATTGTCCTCAGATTTATAGAGACAGATAGGAAGATGGAATTGTCCAGATTTATAGAGACAGATAGGAAGATAGAATTGTCCTCAGATTTATAGAGACAGATAGGAAGATGGAATTGTCCTCAGATTTATAGAGACAGATAGGAAGATGAAATGGTCGTCAGATTTATAGAGACAGATAGGAAGATGGAATTGTCCAGATTTATAGAGACGGATAGGAAGATGGAATTGTCCTCAGATTTATAGAGACAGATAGGAAGATGGAATTGTCCTCAGATTTATAGAGACAGATAGGAAGATGGAATTGTCCTCAGATTTATAGAGACAGATAGGAAGACAAAATGGTCCTCAGATTTATAGAGACAGATAGGAAGATGGAATTGACCTCAGATTTATAGAGACAGATAGGAAGACGAAATGGTCCTAAGATTTATAGAGACAGATAGGAAGACGAAATGGTCCTAAGATTTATAGAGACAGATAGGAAGATGGAATTGTCCTCAGATTTATAGAGACAGATAGGAAGATGAAATTGTCCTCAGATTTATAGAGACAGATAGGAAGATGGAATGGTCCTCAGATTTATAGAGACAGATAGGAAGATGGAATTGTCCTCAGATTTATAGAGACAGATAGGAAGATGGAATTGTCCTCAGATTTATAGAGACAGATAGGAAGATGGAATTGTCCTCAGATTTATAGAGACAGATAGGAAGATGGAATTGTCCAAAGATTTATAGAGACAGATAGGAAGATGGAATGGTCCTCAGATTTACAGAGACAGATAGGAAGATGGAATTGTCCTCAGATTTATAGAGACAGATAGGAAGATGGAATTGTCCTCAGATTTATAGAGACAGATAGGAAGATGGAATTGTCCTCAGATTTATAGAGACAGATAGGAAGATGGAATTGTCCTCAGATTTATAGAGACGGATAGGAAGATGGAATTGTCCTCAGATTTATAGAGACAGATAGGAAGATGGAATGGTCCTAAGATTTATAGAGACAGATAGGAAGATGGAATTGTCCTCAGATTTATAGAGACAGATAGGAAGATGGAATTGTCCTCAGATTTATAGAGACAGATAGGAAGATGGAATTGTCCTCAGATTTATAGAGACAGGATAGGAAGATGGAATGGAAATTGTCCTCAGATTTATAGAGACTGATAGGAAGATGGAATTGTCCTAAGATTTATAGAGATGGATAGGAAGATGGAATTGTCCTCAGATTTAGACAGATAGGAAGATGGGTCCTCAGATTTATAGAGAAGATAGGAAGATGGAATTGTCCTCAGATTTATTGGATAGGAAGAGAATTGTCCTCAGATTTATAGAGGATAGGAAGATGGAATTGTCCTCAGATTTATAGAGACAGATAGGAAGATGGAATTGTCCTCAGATTTATAGAGACAGATAGGAAGATGAAATGGTCCTCAGATTTATAGAGACAGATAGGAAGATGGAATTGTCCTCAGATTTATAGAGACAGATAGGAAGATGGAATTGTCCTAAGATTTATAGAGACAGATAGGAAGATGAAATTGTCCTCAGATTTATAGAGACAGATAGGAAGATGGAATTGTCCTCAGATTTATAGAGACAGATAGGAAGATGGAATTGTCCTCAGATTTATAGAGACAGATAGGAAGATGGAATTGTCATCAGATTTATAGACAGATAGGAAGATGGAATTGTCCTCAGATTTATAGAGACAGATAGGAAGATGGAATTGTCCTAAGATTTATAGAGACAGATAGGAAGATGGAATTGTCCTCAGATTTATAGAGACAGATAGGAAGATGGAATTGTACTCAGATTTATAGAGACAGATAGGAAGATGAAATTGTTTTCAGATTTATAGACACAGGTAGGAAGATGAAATGGTCCTAAGATTTATAGAGACAGATAGGAAGATGGAATTGTCCTCAGATTTATAGAGACAGATAGGAAGATGGAATTGTCCTCAGATTTATAGAGACAGATAGGAAGATGGAATGGTCGTCAGATTTATAGAGATGGATAGGAAGATGGAATTGTCCTAAGATTTATATAGATTAGATAAGGAAGACAAAGTGGTTCTTCAATATTTAGAGA